TCCCTCATTAGTATTCTGAAGAAGAAGTCTTTTCAGGGCTGTAAGAGATATGTATGGTCCCTTTCACCTAAGTAACAGAGATACTGCCACAACTGAGTGCCAGACATATGACCTGTTCCAGGAAAACCTGCCGGTCTGCCAGCACAGGAGGCAAGGCAGCGCTGAGTAAGGAGAAACAAAGCAAAACAAGACTACAAACAAACCAGTTTCCTACTATGGGAATTTTTAGGACAATTCACTGCACACTGGGTAGAGATTTCAATAATTCAAGTAGCGCTGAAGCTGGAAAGTTCACAATATAGCTATCTAGTTCAGCTCAGATTCTAATATACCAAAGTTTTGCTCACAAAAGGCATTTGTTATATAGATTATTTATTTCTTTAACCAAAAGGTAGGCAGTTCACAACATCTTGCAGTAGGTGTAGTATTACGGCTATGTCAGTAACATTTACAAGGCTAGCTGTACTGTGTCAGACTGAGCATCCATCCTATCTCTGATAACAGAGAAAACTGAATGCCCGCTGAAGAACATCAGAACAGGACAAGCATATATGACGCCTCCCACAAGTTCGCCTAGCTTCAAAGAATTTTCCCATGGTCTTAGAAGCGCAGACAGAAATGTTTTCCCTAGATGCATCACTTGACAATGAAATGGCAGGTGAAATTCAGCGTAGACACGTGTTGAGTCACTCGCTCCTGTTTTTAAAGTTCTTTTGCAAGTCTTAGCATTTGGCCATCAGCAGCAAACTTTGCCACCTCACTGCTCCTCACCTTCCCCAGGTCATTTGTGGGTATGCTGAACGATAAAGGTTCCTGCAGGTTCCCACTGGTGATGTCCATCCACCAAGAGAACTGACTGTTCACGCTGACTTTGTCTTTCTAATCTTTTATTCAACTATTTTTCCAGGCTACATTCTCCCCTCTTAATCTGTGGCTGCTTATTTCCTTACAAGCCTTTTGGAAACTCAGGTGGATTTTATCATCTGAGTCTCCCCATATTATGTGTTTGAGGACAGATTCAAGGGACTTCAAGAGGTTTGTGGGGCAAGACCTCTCTTGACTTCCTTCCATTTATAAACGTATCTGTGCTAATTTTGGTCTTTACTATGTATTCTACCAGTCTGCCTAGTAGAGGGGCCAGGTTTACGTATAATGCCTTCTCAGAAGTTGTTACCCCAAGACTGGCAGGTAGCAAATGTATTAAAGTGTGTTTTAAGATAGCCATTACACACCCCTCCCCACTTAGTTCTTGTGCTTAGCCTAACTAGGAGGTGCTACTCAACAGACAACAGTGAACGCTCATTACCCTCTGGGATCAGATTAGGATTTAGCCAGGAGATCTTCCTAAGAAAACCTGTCGATAAACAGGTTTCAGCCCCATTTTTCAGCCCCCTGTATCAGCCCCATTTTTCTTCTCACTCCCATATCCTCTGGCCTGGGCTCCTCAGCTTCAGACCCTCTGCTTGCTAGGACAGGAGTAGGAACTAAGCTACCCAGAGCTCAGGACAGCAGTGACATGAGGCCGTTTTTGCCTCACCCTTTCCTCACCCGTGCCAAATACAGCATGAAAACATCTTAGGATTTCTTAAAGCACTGTGTGAAAATTCCTAATGATAAGATCACTTTAGTATGATTCACTATAAATAAGACACTAATTGTCCATTATGATAGGGAGGAAAAAAAAAAAAGCACATGCACTGTGTTGTTTACACATTAGGAAGGAGTAGATTTTGGCTTCTTATTGCAACATGAATCATTAAAAAAATCCTTCCTGTCCAGGTATGCATAAATTAAGAGAGATTTATATCTAATATATCTTGGCAAGGTCACATCACATGTGACTTGTAAATAACAATGTATGAAACATGCTGCATGTGTAACACATCGGAAGGAAGGGCCAAGGTAAAATATCTCAAACTTGAAAAAGCTAATAACTATTTGTGTATCACTGATAGTTCCAAGACATGCCAGGCAGTAAGAGTCATTCAAAAGGAAGGGGAGCAGCTATTGTTATTTATACTGAGCCAAACACAATGGTATTTGGACACGCTTCCTATATTAATGAACCCAGCTAATCTATTTCCAAGTTTATAGTGCAAATCCATTGCAACAGCCTGCAGTATTAAAAAAAAACCAAAAAACACAAAACAACTCCCCCGCCCCAAACTAAGTCCTGGAAACTTAGTAGACTGCCTAATTATAACCCTGCTTAAAGAACTATAGATCCTGCAAGTCTAGAAGTGACCAGTTTGGGGGTTTACAGGGTCATTGCTGAATGCTTTTTACATGTGCCTGTACAATGCCCCAGATTCTCCTTTCCTGTGTTATTTCTGCTTCATCTTCTCCTACAGACATACAAATCAAACCAAACAGCTTTCTAGTCAAGTCCAAATGAAATTAAAGGCTATGGAAGGAAGTGTGCATCCTGTACTCTGTTAATTTTCCACTCTGTAGAAACATAGTTTTTTGTGTGTGTATGTGTGTGGTTTTTTTTTTTTAAGACATTTGGCAGCTTCCTACAATCAGGAAGGGCGAATGGTTATAGCAAATGCTTAATTGCCACTAGCTACTACTTTTAATTTTATTGCCATCTGGTATTTGTGAAACTGCTTCTAAGTTCTGCATGATGACTCACCACACATTACACATCTTAAAGGAAAACCCTTCATAGACTCATATGCCTTTCAGAGCCACTTAAGATAAGTGATAAGGACTGCATCAAAAGCCTAGTGCAGTGGAGCTGTGGAAAGGATACGCAATCAGCGGGTTTGTTCTGTTCAGGAGAACCTTTCAATTAAAGTGCAAGATGAGTTCGCAGTGAAGCTGGGATCTGGACCTGAACATCTTTAACGTTTGAGGATGCTGAAATCCAGTCACAAGCTCTAAGCAAAACTCCCTTCACAGGTCTGCTCAAACACAGCCAGGATTTGCCTACCGAGCACTCAGGCACACTCTGTTCAAAGCTTTTCGTGAAAATAGGCATAAGTACTGACCCAGGATGAGAACATTTATTACAGGTTACAAATGAGTCTTGCTCATTCATTTTATTTGTCTATTAGTGGTTGGAATTCATGAAAACGCTTTGTAATTCTCTGCTTCTCAGAGGGATATTAATTTGCCAGGTTTCAAGTGCTCAGAAGAGAACGATGGAGAGAGAAAGAGAGAGGTTCACGTCTCTATAAAATTCATCAACCCAGCAAACGATGAAACTGTCCTGTAGTTTATGGATTTAAAAAGGGTGCATTCTTGCACCAATATGCCAAAAAGGCAAGTTGCTGTCATCTCTAAGTTATAACAATTTTACAGATAATTAGCACCATCATTAACACAAGTTTGTTTCATAAATGGATGTATCCAGAATGCAAGGCAAAGGCTGCGTTTTGAAATACTTTACAAAAAAATCTCATTTTTCTCATAATGTTAAAGACAGCTACCTTCTGAATGCAATTGTTCCCTTGCACTCTGAAGGCAGTATCTGAAAGCTAGGAAACGAAACTCACTAGTAATTGAGTATAAATAAGCAGTGATGGAGCAAAGGGAGCATCAATTAAAGATGCCTAAAGTCTATTTTAGTAATCAAAACTGCTAGGAACATACAGAGTGAATATTTTAACATGCCCCATTCCTAAATTCCTTTGATAAATGTAAAGGATACAGAGAGAAGTACAGAAAGCCACCTGAAAGAGAGCTTATTCAAACTTTATGGAAGGAAGAAGTGGAGGGGCAGAGAAATGTGAAGTCATGTGGAATGTCTTTGAAACAATCAATCAAGAGCAAAAGGTCCCATGATTTAACCACAAGACCATTCCCCGGAAATAGTTTTTGAAAGCGTGTCGGTGCTCTTAGTAACAGTAGTTTTAATGACAGCACGAGACAAGAAACATCAATTTCTATTTATCCGTGTAAACAGGACTGGGCTATACTGACGCCTGAGTGTCCATGCATATTAGGGTCTCCTAATTGAGCCAGTGAAGACATTCAAGCATGATTAAACAAAAAAGTTGAGAAGGATAACTAAGCCAGAGAAAGGGGTTTACGCCTCTGTTCTTTTTATTGAGAATAAGCGATCTTCATTAGTGCATAGATTAAAATTTCTGTTTAATAGTGGAACTGAATCTTCACAGGCTTCAATAGGGCCCTGAATGCCAAATTCAGAGAAAGCGCTTCACAATTTCCGTATGTGCAAAGTGTAAGACCATGTAAATCCACAGACAAGGCTCGACTCTTTCAATTCGCTGCAAAGTCTCCAAACCCACATACATGTAGCTGCTTTACTTGTCAAGCAAACGCCAGAATCCTGCTTTGTTTCTCAGTCTTACAGAGCCGTAAACTAAAGCTGGGACTAAAGCAAATCCACAGATCAGTATTTCACTGGACAGGATGGGCTTGGCCAAGGCATTAGGTTTAACAGGAAAAAACCCAGCAATGTGAAAAACCCAGCAATGTGAGGATTAAATGTGACACACAGGCTCTCCCTTTTACAGAAATAACAATAAGAAAACCCTTCAGCTTGGTTAATATAAAAGAATCTGGGTGTTAAACTAGGAGTCAATGGATAGCATTCACATACTTTTAAACAGAGTTTATTCAACAGAGCACTGAGAAGTGCTAACAAGAAAAAAAAGCTATCGGTTTCCTGAAAGACAGAAAGGGCTCAGTACAGTGGAATTCGGTCGCAAGAAGTGCTCTGGGCAGTCTGTCATTTGATTTCGGGAAAACGCTACTCACTAGAGCTGACGCGATGCTGTAGCCATGAAGCGCTGCGGCTGACCCCCGGCTCTTCTCCGAGGAGCCTTACGAACGCAGTTGCCCGCTATCTCATGCGACAGGAGCCTGTCTCAGAAAGCCTGCCAGGGCCCAGGCCCGCAAGCGCTCGGCGTTTCCTGCGCATTGCTGGGGTTTCTACTGAAACAAACGAGAGCGAACGAGACGAGAAATGAGGTTATCATTCGGAGCGGCCAGCAACAGCCCCCGCCCCCGCCCCC